CTCGGCACAATTCCAAACACCAGCCCTATAGCACCCATGTCTGTGCGCCAGGACAGCAAACCTTCAAGTCTTGAGCACCCCAAGACTTTTTGCTGAAAGATCCCAGGCTCCCACCTTGGCCCCATCACTAGCTCTGTGAGTAAACTAACATCTGTGATCTCAAGCCCTCTCTCTTGTAAATGCAGGGTCCATCACTTTTTTGACTCCTGAGACAGGCTATTTTAGGTTTTGAACTGGGCACTGGCTGGTGGGCCATGGGGCGGTCAGGGGGTCTTGGGGGAGACTCCCGGGAGGTGGGGGGAGGCACTCTGGGGGCTCAAGGCAGCTGCTATTTACCAACCGGTACAGAAATCATTAAAAATTTGAACAGCCGGCAGATCACGCCACTGCATGTCAGCCCTAGGTGACAAGGTGATGTGTAGAACCTTCTCTGTTCCTTTGTCTCCTCACCTTTAAAGCAGACGAGGTGATGAGAAAGTGATCCTTACACTGATGATAAGAAGAGCAGCTGCCACTGGGGCGCTTTCCACGGCCAAGAGGCTCCCCCCGACCATCTCAGTGAGCCCTCAGTGCAATACCCCCAGGAAGACGTTACCTGGTGGAGGACTCAGGTCCGGAGAGTTAAGGTTAAAGGAAACTATGCACAACATGGCTAAAGGCAAGGTGGCAAAAATCCCATCTCCCAAGCTCACTAGCTGTGCCACCCAAGACGAGTTATGTAACCCCGCCTTGGCCTCATTTTGTTCCTCTGTAAGCGCGACTAATGACCTCCTTTTAGGGCTGCTGTGAAATTCAGTGCGTTGGTGGCACCGGTGCACCATTATCTGGCACCGGGTGAGCTCTCAGTAAGTGGAATAATAACTTTTATTTCTATTTTTATTATTATTGCCCAAGGTAGTAACAGCAGCGTGGCCTTCCTATTCTAAAACCCTATTAATTTACACGACATTTCACATACAAAGGGCTTTAATAGATACCATTTATAATTTGCCTGTGAGTGATAAGGATACGTCTTATCTGAAGTACAAGGTGGGTAATGTGACGGCAGGAGGCGAGGGGCTCGCAGGGGCTCAGGGAGGGCCTGGCTGCGGTGGCTGAAGACCCCAGAGCTCTGGTGCTCGCACGTCAGCTGCGCTGGCGGTCGCTCCTGCCCTTTTGCCCTTGGATTTGTTCAGTCCCTCCCAGCTCCTCTAGGAAGGGCTCAGCCGGAGGGACCTCTGGGGGCCTTTCCATCTAGTGGAAGCCTGCTCTCTCCTCTGTTGCCAGCACGTGTCCCAGAAAGCAGGGCTATGTCTCTCTGCTTCGTCACTGTGTCCCCAGCTTCTGGGGCAGGGCTGTGACGCAGCAGGTGCTGGTAAGCAAGTGTGGAATGGGTGGAAGAGGAACGGATAGGTACAACAGGGTGGGCAAGAAAGGGGCTCTACCTGCTCTAGGCCTCACCTGAATCCTAGCTCGTTCAAGGGTGGTGCCAGAGGTCAGACGAAGAGAGTGTGGAGAGGCCCTAAACCAGCTCCACTAAGACAGATGCAGGACAGGCCCCACGCCCTCCCCTGCAAACCCAGGCTTGCCCTGAGGCCTGCTCGGGCTCAGAGCAGGGCAGCAGGGCTTCCGAGGGGGGTCAGCAGCTGCACTCTCGCTCTCCTGTCCTTCTCTAGGTGACTGCAACTGGGCAAGGCTCTTGGCCTCAAAGGAAGCCAGCCCTGGGCAGCCAGCACCCAGGGCCCACTGGGCCAGCTCAGTGCAATCCAACAGGGAACAGCCTAAGGCAACGGTGGGGACAGCACCCCTGGTTCACAGAGTGTCTGCCCATGATTCCCTAGGTCTGGGAAGAAGTGGCATCAGCTTTTCAGTGCTAAAGTCTGTTGTCCAGCTGTCCTGGCCCAGGTAATAGGACAGCACCTGCCCAGATGGGGGCCACAGAATCATCAACAGAGGTAGGAACGCTAGGGAGGGAAGCCACGTAATGCTTCTGGGCCCTTACACTTGCTAATCCCTGGACGTGGAGTACCCTTCCCTCACTGGCTGCATGGCAAACTCCTATTTGCACCTCAAAACCCAGTTCAGATGGTGCCCCTTCTTGAAAGCTTTGCTGGCAGTCAGTGACTCCCCAACCCTGCCACCCCTCCCCCCACCCCGTCAGACCACAGGGGGATACATCTGGCTGCCTGTGCGACGCCCCTCCAGGCTCTGACCTCCTCACTCGCTTTATCAGGACCCCTTCCCAATGCCCACAGAGGATCTAGCCCCCGGCAGGTCCTGAGGACACCGTCCAGCACACTACAGAGAATGCGCTCTCATGGCCCACCCCCAACGGAAGGCACCGGCACCACAGGCAGTGACCCCATTGGTTGGGTCTCTCTGAGGCAGGGGATCCAAGCTGACCTGGACTCAGGGAAAATACCTCGGGGTAGGACTCTGCTCTGTCTTTTCAGCCTGGGGAGAAGGAGGGAATGGGGGCCCATCTTGGCCTTCTGGTTTGTCCTTGGCTGCCCTAGACGCAGGAGCTGCCCATCCCTCAGGCCTGGCACTGCCGTCTGCCTATAATCTCACACTCTGTTGTTGTTGTTTTGTGTTTTTTAATGCCTGGTCAGTGACCCTCTCAACAACCTGTGAGGAAGGAGATAAGACAAGGAGATCAATAGCCCTATTGGACAGATGGGGAAACTGAGGCCCAGAGGTGGCCTTACTGTCCCAGCAAGCTGGGGACAAGAACTCAGTCTCCCGACTTCCCTCCTGAGAACCGGGGTCTCTGGCTTTGGCACCCCGAGTCACGTTTCCCTTTTTCATGCAGAGGAGTTTCAAGAGGCATGGAAACCTGATGGAAAGTGAAACCCGCAATCCCGTCAATTCAGACTGCTCCAATTCATTTCCGCAAACATTTATTAAGTGCCTATTAGGCACCACGCTCTGCTTTCATCATCTGGGAATAGCGTCAGCCCCTGATCTTCTACGTGACGGGAGGAGCATGGGAGGGCGGCCCATCCACAGCTCACGCCAGAATAGGGGTGTGCTGCAGAATTTTACTTCCTCATTTTCTTTTAAAGCAGCAGCTACACTGTCCTGACTAAGCCTGACTTTAATATCCAAATGAGGGATAAGCTCCCAGTACCCACAGGGCCAGGTGGCGTGGGAGTGGGCTGGCCACAGGAGGAGCTCGCTTGTGATTTCAAATCCGCCTGTGGGTCCAATCTGTGAGGGGGTAATCCCTAGAGACGAAGCTCTGGGCTGGAGGGAGGTGCAGATGAGAGGGCTGGCGATGAAGCAGATGTGTGCGGGCTGCCGTGTCAGGTGGGGCTTCCCTTTACGAGGGAGCATTTCTGTCTACAGTGCTGAAACATCTAGCTGTGGGCGCCTGGGACTGTGGACACGTCAACAGGCCTGGGAAGCCGACCATCGCATCCTGGCATGTCAAGGTGGGCTCCCCTACCCGTCAGGAGCCAGCCATCACTCGCTGGGAGGGCTGCGCTCTGGAACCCAGGCAGAAGCACCGAGCCAGGCGGCACTGGCAGAGCTGAGGACCTACCGCGTCGGGGTATACCAGGGTTCCCCCTGAGGGCATTTCTGGGGTAGGGGGGTGAGGAAAGAGCCTCTTACAAACTTAAGCAGAGGCAAGTCCTGAGGTTTAAACAGACACCCGAGTGAGGGGTCATCCCAAGCCACTGGTTTTGTGATTCCACCACAGTGGCCCTGGAATCGCCTCCCCTGACAGAGTCACAGAGGCTGGGAGGGAGGCCTGCTCCTCTCTCTTCAAGAACTTGACCAGAAAAAGCATCACTTTTTCTGGTGGGAGTACGAGCACAGGTTTCCCGAGTGGGGGCTGAGCACGAGGGTCTCCGCCATGGGGGTGGGCTGGGGGAGGGGTGGACGGAAGGCCTCTGGAGTCGCTCCCTGCAGTGGCCCAGGTTATCCATCCAGGCAGGGCCCCAGGCCTTTGGTGTGGCAGCTATCAGCGCGTCTGAACACTTCACGCGTGTCGTAAACCGGAGGGAACTGACAGGTTGGTGTGAGCTAGCTCAGGAAGCAGCCCCTTGCCCCGGGCTGCTTTCCCCAGTCATCTGGCATAAGGCAAACTCCTTCCCCTTCCAAAAACTTGGGCCCTCTTCCCTCTGCTTTCCACATTCAAGCCACGGCCCTCAGGATAAGACAGACCACTAAGACTTGGTCTTTGCTCAAAGACTAGACGATGTGACCGAAGCTTACACTGCGGAGCCACAACTGAAGATGGGCCACAGCAGCTTCTCCGCCAGAGAGAACAGGATATCCTTGAGCTATGGCACCTCTCCTCAGACCACACCCCCTCCCTCGGTGTGGAACAGAAGGACTATCTTTTAGAGGGACCAAAAATCAACCAGCACCTGAGAACCATCCATCATCAGACTGGAGACATGGAAGGCAAAATACGTGGTGAGCAGTTGTGAGTTCCGGATCCAGCAACCACGCAGGCATCGCTAATCAACCACAGCTCCCTTTCTGCTGAGCTAAGACTTGGCCTCAAGATCATTCTTAAGCCAGTGCTCCAGGAAGCCAGTCCCCATCAGTCAACATCAGCACCTGAATGAAATCTGTTTTCCATCACTGAGGACGTAGAAGCACAAACTGGTACTTCCTGAACCAGAGTCCCAGGTTTCCCCGCCTGGAACCTGTACCACCCGGCTGTTCCCACACAGTCATCCTAGGAGGGAGGTGGCAGCACTGAGCCAGGGATGCTAGCCTGACTCTCCTGGCTGCCCCCAGGGCCCTGTGTCTGAGGTCACTTCAGTAGCCAAGGCTGTGGCTCAGACACTTTTTTGACGGTTGGGGCTGCACATTAACCCTGCTGTCCCAGTAGAGCTGAAAGACCCCCAAAGGGCCGCAGCCAACCTGAGGCAGGGGGAGAGAAACAGAGCCCCGAGAGGAAGAGGCAGAGAGGAGGAGAGGCAGTGCAGAAAGAGGGGAGCATTCTTTTGAACTCACCCACATGGGTCCCTCACTGCCCCCCCACCCCCCGCCCCAAACCCCTTCTGACTCACTTTGGAAATCTGACCACATCACTCCTCTACCTAAGATCCTCTAAGGGCTTTTCATGTGTTTTGTGGATCAAATGTGAATCCGGGAACCTGCCCCCGTTTCTAACCTTGTCTCCCCTGACCCACCCCCATCCCTTTAACTGCTCTTAATCCCTGGGACCTGCACCGCAGCCCCTTTCAGGTTTGTGGCAGAGTTTGCTAAGTGTCCCCTAATAAATATTTCACCCTTCTTCCTTAATACCAGAATCCTGTTTTTAGCTGGCACATGGTTACCAGGAATAAAGACATTCCTGAGGTTCCTTTGCAGCTAAAAGTGGCCATGTGACTAAGGCCTGACCAATGGGATCTAAGCAGAGTGCCACACATAACTTCTAAGAAGTGTTATTAAAGGGAAGGGATGTGTTCTTCTGGGATGAGTACGTAATGGCTGGAGCCTGAGCAGCCTTCTTAGTCTATAAGATGGAGTCTTACATTGAAGAGAATAGGACACAAAGATAAAAGAAACCCAGACCCTTGATACTGTGGAGCCACATCCAGGCTTCTTTCACACTGGAGAGAAAAAACAAATTCTTATTTTGCCTAGGTATTATTATATTGCATTTTCTTTCTTTTAAAAAAATACTTGATTCAGTGTCTAAGCATGTCATTTATCTACCTAGGATACACTTCCTTCTCTTCTTTACCCAGCTAATTTTATTTGACTTTGTAAGACCCAGTAGTGGTGTCACCCCAGGCAGGACCAACAGCCTGTCTTTGTGCCCTTACAGCAGAGAGAGATTCCCTCTCTCTAGCTAAGCACCTGTCCCATGATGCTCGATGGGTTTGATCACTGGCTGTCACCCTCGGCTGGGCCGTGAGCATCCTGAAGGAGCTATAGCCTTATGCACGTCCAGATATTTGGTACCTGATCCACTGCTTGATGATCAGTACATGGGGAGGGAGGGAGGGAAGAGGGGGGGTGAAGCAAGAAGTCCCAGCAACTCCCTTGGGGATTCTCAATCATTCCTTTCACTGATAAGTAGATCCCCTAGCAGGCAGCTTCATCGGGGGTGACGAGGAAGAGAAAACCGCTCTGGAGAGTGGTAGAATAAGAACACCAAGGCCCACTGTTTCTGAAACTTCCAGTTGTATAGCATTCACCAATTTACAGGGCATGTTCACATATACACATCACCCTAGGTAATTCTAAAAACCTAACTCACTAGGCACTGTTATAATCCCGAGGGCTCAGAGGGCTAAGTCACTTGCTCAAGGTCACATGGCTACTATGTGGCCAAGTGACCTGGAAATGAGATCTTCTAGCTTCATGTCCAGCAACACAGGTGCCTCCTCGGACCTGCACCGTACAGGGGAGTTAGGAAAGCAAGCTACGTGCAAACCACACGTGGGCAGGTGTGCACAGTGCGTGCACGGGCTCACACACACCCGGTGCACAGATGCGAGGGGCTCCAGGTGTTCGGTGGCATTTTCACTCGAGGGCAGGGGGTGATGGCAGAGGAAGGGGGCACGGGAGCGGACCGAGCAGTTGCTGCATGCAAACGCTCTGCCACGGCTCAAGGACAGGGCCGCCTCGAGCAAGTGCAGGGGGCACGAGGAAGCAGAGAGGGCTGGGCGCAGGCGGCAGCCAGGGGGAGTGCGCATGCTTTCAGAAACCGCACTAGGCTGTCACTGGTACCGGTTATTTAGTGCCTTCACCTCCCCCGGAGCGAGAGCAGGACACTGTCGGGCTAAGAGACGGCAGCACACAGCATGTCCGTGGTAAACAATTTATTTTTCTACCTCAGTTGCTTACAGGGGTAAAAATAAAACGGCAACAGGGAGAAGCACAGACGAACTATTTACAGGGGTGAAAATTCACAACGGCTAAAACGTCTGTGAGGCAAGCATATACTGGGACAAGTTCACCAAAGCAAAGCAATTCATAGCAGAACAAAATAAAGAGGAAAGAAGCCATACAGATTAAAAAGAAAAAACAGCACTCATGAAAAAGCCTGAGGGAAAATAAAAGGAAAGGAACCAATGATTATATCAAGCATCTTTAATGAGATGAACACAACCGCACAGGTTGGGTGTAAAGGACACTGACATTCAAAAGGATGGACTGAATGCATCCGACGGAAGCACGCAGGTCACTTCTCACAAACCCTGAGCGTGAACAAGGGGTGACTCTTGAGGGCCCAGCTGAGCTGTACTTTGTTAATCCAAGAGAGTGGGTAAGTGGACAGATCAGGGTCATTGGGAAAGGAAGCCCTTCTGGGGGTGACCATCAGGGGTACCGACCTGATCAGGACAGACCCTCTGTGTTCGCGCCCTCTGACCCCAGTGGGCCAAGAGGCCCCTGATGCCAGCAGGGAATGCAAGGCGAGTAGGCGGCGAGGTGAGGGCAGAGGTGCCAGGGAAAGAGGGACCCAGTGTGGATCGGGGCCCACAGGGCCTGAGATGTGGCAGCACCTGGGTGCCTCCACTGTCCCTTCCCGAAGACAGATGTGCATTATTATAGCAACAACCACTGAGGGATTGGCCCCCAAAGACAAAGACAACCAGATAATGTTTATATAATTTTTCTTCCAGATTAGATCGTTCACATTAGTATTTATAGAATAGTCTCTGTGTGTGTGTGTGTGTGTGTGTGTGTGTGTGTGTGTGTGTGTTCACTTCTGGTTCTGTCCGCCACAGGACACAGGTGCTCCAAGTCACATATCCCCAACCCCTGTGGGCTCCAGCACTTAAAAGCTCACCCATGAAATGCCCCAACAAGCCTATTTGGTGATTATTTAAAATAATTTGAGGCCTTCTTCCTAGATGCCCTTGAGGAAGGCTCTACAAAGTTTGTGAGAAGTTTCCCCCCGGCCCCATGACATTCTGGGAGGGTGGCAGGTGGAATACGTGGGGAGGTGTCCACAGTGCGTACGAGAAGCAAACTGGGAGGGGACTGGAGAATAAAATTGCTTTGAAAAAACTGAAAGAAGCATTGAGGACAGGAGTCTTTTCCAAGAATTAAAAATGAGAAAAAGGACATTCGTTCCAACAGGCAGCTACGACAGTGTTCAGTGGGCACTGACAGCAGCGGGGTGGCCCCGGCAGGGACTGTGTCCTCTCTCTAGTAATGGTGGCAAACCCCAATTTGTTATGCCTCTCTTAAGAGCTAGTTGATAAAAATTATGTCTTGTGAAATCGGCAAGTAGTCTGCAAAGTGAAATAAGAACAGAAATTAACAGATTGAACTGAAATGAGGGTCCAGAGGGGGAAAAAGAGAGGAGACCACCGATCAGGATCGTGATAAGTCCAGTCCCCACACCGACCCACGAGGGCTGGGCTGGGGGTAAGGGGCACGCGGTGGACCATCTGGGCTTGGGAAGAAGGAGCCACGTCCACGGTGGCTGATCGTCACTCAGTCTTTCTGGAAGAGAACTACTCCCACTCGAAGAGTTATCTGAAGCCCATAGCCCCCTTTATTGGAGCAGCTCTCCTTTATTTTCATAGAAGCCTAAAGGTGGGCAGAGACAGGCATTTCTTAACACCAACTGTGCAACCAGAAAGGTCTGCAGCAAGCCCAGGTCACACAGGTAAAGCAGGGACACGAGCGGATGAGATGGGGATTCACAGAAAGGGCCAACTCAGGTGAAGAGGCGGCACCTTCCCGCAGGGGATGCAGGGTGCTCGGCGCGTGGTGAGGACACACAGGATGCAGACCTCAGCAGCCCTCCAGGACGGGGGTGTCCTTCCGCTGCTCTTAGCTACCTTGCATCACCCCACAGGATGGATTCAGGAAGGGCTGGGAGGGGTGCGGGAGGTACGCGCATCACAAGGGAGACGAGGTGGGCAGTGGGTGAAGTGGGCACCGCTGAGAACATGGAAAAGGAAGACCGCGAAGAAAAGACACCAGGGCAGCTTGGTGGGGATGAGACCATCTGTGCTGACGTCGCTGACTCACAGGCATGGGGAGGGGGTCAGCAGAGCCACCCTGACAGGGGCGAGGAGAGGGCAGAGTTGGGCTGCCCTCCCCTGGGTCACCCCTCTGCACCCCAGCCCCCCCGGCCAGATCCACTGAAGACATTCCTTACTGGCACAGGGCAAGAGACTCACGTCAGAACGCTGCAAAGCTTCCCTGCCCCTGAGGCCGAGGCTCCAGGAGGAGTCTGGAAAACCACAGGGGCCTACCTGGGCTCTGTGTGCTAGAATCCTCGGCTGCTGGAGGCTCCTGGACAGCAGACAGAGCTACCTTTCCACAGGAGGCCACTCCTCCAGGGGCAGGGTCACCCCCAAGCCCATTCCATGTCCCTTTACCACCACCCTCCCACCGGCTCTGTTCCCAAAGCCCTGGCTTGTGGTGAAGGGCTAGGCACCTGGGGGATCCCATCTCATCCTACCCAGCCTCGGTTGGTCACTCTTGCACCTCTGTCTGTCCTGCATACATGTCCATCTAGGGCAGACCCAAGGATGCAGGTCCCTGGGACACAATTCAACCAGATATTTCCTGGGCTGGCTCATGGGGCCCCGAGGGCAGGTTCTCAGATGAGATGGGGGCCTGAGCAAGGAGTCCACTGTGTCACCCCTCCCCCGAACTATACCGGGTTAGGATCCCTAACTGTTTGCTGGGACTAGTGCTACACTGAGGGGGCAATGGCAGCCTGATTGTGAAGGGAGGTAGGCTTCAAGCACACAGAGCAGCAAGGCACTCTCACCGAGCCAGGATGTGTGACCCTGCACATCTTCTTATCCCCTGGGGAGGAAGGTAGGGGAGGGAAGGAGAGGAGAGGCTTCCCCAAAACTACCACCAGCTTCTGGGCTGAGCAGGACAGGCAAGGAATGGAGAACAGGGATGGTGACACACAAGGTCTCTCCAGGAGAGGCAGTGCCCGCATGCACGTGCGTGTGGGGACCAAGCAGCCCTCATCATAACACACCTCTTCATGTAGGCTCTGGAACAGCTCCATCCAGCAGAACTTTATGTGGTGACGGAAACGTTTTAGATTCTGCACAGTAGCCACTAGCCACGTGGTTGCTGAGTAACTGAAGCGTGGCTAGTGTGGCCGAGGAACCGAATTTTCCATTTTACTTAATTTTACTTAAATGAAATGTAAACCTTAGTCGCTGCCCGTGGCTAGCATGATCGTACTGGACAGACGGATGCTAGGAAGATGACGGGGTATGGCAGTTAAGACCCAGGCCACCTGGGTCCCAATCCTGGCCCTGCCCCTTACTGGTTGTGACCCCTTGAACAGGGCTTCTACCTCTCCAGGCTTCAGGGTCCCCATCCGTAGAGGGAAAATCTAGAGGAGGTGCAGACCGTGCCTGGCCCGGTGCTGGCTTCTCAGCTTGCGGTGTCTGGTGTCCTGCTTGGCGAGGCCCGTGGCCACCTGAGCTGCCACGTGCAGCAGAGAAGCGGTGCGGAGGGCTCCCTTGGGGCAGCTGAGGCTGTTTGCTGAGGGGCCCACCCTGGTGGGGAGACCACCCGGCCCAGGGGACACACTTGTGGGCAAGTCCCTCCACGCATCCCCTCCACCTGAACCTCTGCTTCTGTACCTGCTGTTGTCTTCCACCTCCCCCGCTATCAGAAAGGTGCACGGACCCCAGCGACCATCCTGCCCAAACCCCTCATTTCCAGAAAACAAAAGGGAGGCCCCGAGATGCTGGGTGACCTGCCTATGGCCATGGGCAGACAGGACAAGAGCCTAGGGCTTCTGTTGCTGGTTGAGGATCTGTCCCCCATAGAGCATGGCTCTCAGTGTCCCACATGCCTCCTGACCTCCCCCGACACACCCCTTCCCCACCCGAAGCTCAGTCTGAGGCCCCTCGCACACCGCACGCCCTGCCCTCCACTGCCTTCAGAGCGCCGTCCCCCCAGGGCCATGTCCTGCTCGCCTCGCCGCCTTGCAGCTCAGGCCTCCGGGTTTAGGAGGATGACCAACCAGGAGTGGAAGCCCAGTTCCCTAGCGGCCCCTGCCAAGACACAGAGCCCAGAGGGCAGAACTCTGCTCCTAGCATCTTCTCTACACACCCCAGCTGTCCTTAGAACACAGACACCCCCGAGCACCCCAAAACATTCTTGCTGTACTCCAGGTCTGGGGAAGGCTGGCTTCCCCGCTTCTAGGGAAAAGCAAGCCCCATAAAACATCACTTCCTTCATGCCCCTCCCCCATCCCTGCAGGACCACGGCCCCCGCTGCCCCACAGGTGAGAGTCCCAGGCCTCCCGGTTACACGGAAGCTAGAGCAGCCTGGGCACGCGAGTGGGTATCACCGGGCGCTCTGCCTTGAGTCTCTGACGCCCACATGGAGGGAAGGGAGAATCTAACCAACCCCCCGCCACCATCACTCAGGACAGAGAGCAGACCCAAACCCAAGAGCACACCCAACACACATGTATGTCAGAAGGGCACCGGAGCCGGACGAGGGGAGGAAGGAAGGTGAGGTCTAGACAGCAAGGCACGTGAATGCTGGGGAGGCACAGGGTGACAGAAAACCCTGGGCCCCAAGTTCAGTCCCCTCCCCAAGGAGAGAGAACCTGGAAGAGGTTTCAGAAAACAGAGGGCAAGCAGAGGTAGGGCTCCTGTCTTTCCCTTCCCCCTACAAGCCACTCTCAACCAGTGAAATACTTCAGTTAATCAGAAACTGGGCTGCATCCTGACCTGGATACAAGGTCAAGTGGATCTGAAACTTAGCACCTGTAGGTCATTTCGTGAATGGATGTATGCATGAGTTGGTTCTCCTTAGGGGTTCCCCTCTCCCCAATGCAGCCCACCTCCCATGTCCCCAAAGCCCTGGGAGACAAAGCCACTCACCTGGGAACTGATAGCCATAGCTAGGAGCAAATCCAGGGTAGCCGCGGCCATAGGTTGCCACAAAGTTGGGGTAGCCTTGAACACAGAGAGAAAGACCACGTCGGTTAGCGCAGCTGCTTCAGGTTGCGGGAGTCCGAGGGAGGGCGGGAGTGAGACACAGTCCGAGTTATTTTCCTCCACAAAATTACTTGTCTCCCGTGGGGGTCTTTACCCAGGGCCTGGGTCACCCCTCGCCCGTGGCTGGGGCACTGCTGTCAGCCTGCTGGTGATTAGCCCGTATTTGGGCCGAGAGACCCCCAAAGCCCACGCACTTTCTTGAACCTGCAGAGTAAATGCCACAGGTTAGCCCCAGACCCTCGGCCAGCGCCGGGCGCTGACATTTGCAGAGCTTACCCTGTATGTACTTTACCTTAAGGCTATTGACAGTAGGAGATTAAAGTCCTTCGCCAGCACCATGGACAGAGCATAAGGAACGCGGGGTGGGGTCACAGTCTAGGGGCAAAACTCGGGGGCTGACTCTGTGCCTCTGGAAAAACACTGGGCCCAGTGAACCATGGCCCGGGGGACGCAGGGACCAAGCCACGTCCAAGCAGGGACACTCCACCGTATCTTCCCAAGGCCCTGGGAGAACAGGGAGGGCCTGGCTGTGCTAAATGTGCACCACAAGCGTGAACCCAAAGCCTCAACAGGCATTTCCCAGCAAGCACGCTCCTTCCAGGCACCCGTCTCAGCAGATTACCTGGGGGTGCTGGCTAACCAAGGGGTGTCTGTGGAAACCGCTGCTGGACTGGGCATGGGGTGCAGAGGAAAGAACTGGCAAGTTCTGGCGTCCCTGTGGTCGTCTCCGATCAGTTACCAGTTACCAATCCCCCATGAGACGCCACTGCAGCTCCCTACCCTTCGTGGTGCCCACTCAGACCCTCACTCCTCACGTCCCGACTTCTTGAGTTCGGCTACAAAGAAGGCTGGGGTAGCCTTCTTGGATGGAAATTCCACTGGCCATAGCAGACCCATGGCTGCCCCGTTCCCAGCCTGCCAGGCTCCCTTTTCTTCCCTCCGCTCCATATAGAAGAAACTCAGTCCATTCACGCTCTTAAAATACCACCCTGGCCAGCCTGCCACCTACTTTACCACCACCACCACTGCCAGCCTGACCTCTGCTTTGACCTCTGAGCGGGATGCCTGTGGCTCTTTTCGGCTGCCCAGCACCTGAACCCCCTTCTCTGTGTCTGAGTCTTGGAGACGGGCCTGCCTCCCATCATGGAAGCAGACTGTGAACCCAGGCTGGGCCAGTGCAAGTCTTCTCCAGGTGCCAGTGGGGCAGAGGAGGGCGGACGGTTCAGAATCTATTCTGGCGTCAGCAGCAGAGCCCGGGGTCCATTGGTGGCAACAGTGGCCCCCCTAACCAGGTCATTCCTGGGTTGTCCCCTTGGTGGGGCTGTGGCTGACCGCCCAGCTCCCCAGTTCCTGCCTGTTCCCCAGCCTTCCTGGCACTTCTGTCCGTTGCCCAAGCCCCTTCCAATAATCTCTTTTACTGTCTATAGCAGCCAGAGTTATTTCTGTTGCTTTGTCACCAAAACGCTAGTAGAAAGCATTTTGATGGGCAGGTTTAGGACAGTCTCCACGCCCTCCAACCATAAGGCCCATAAGTGGCGGCTTTCCACATGTACCCTTGCGGCTCCATACAGCAACTTAAACACCCTAAAGCCAGGCTCTGGGGTCTCATGATCCACTTCCAAGGTGGATTCTCACATGTCACAAGCATTTTCTGACCCTGCAGGTGATGGCTGACCACCAAGATCATTCACTAAATTCCAGCTTGGGTGCAGCATCACGAGTTAGAGTTTGCGGGTCTTCCTGCTGCCTGCTCATAGCGCTTTTATGCTGAAGGCGGTCCAAAAATGGGACCCACCCTCCTTCACTTTCCTCTGCTTGTTGGTGTCACAGCTTTCATCTTGACCAGAAGATCTGTCATCAGACCTAAGACAGAAGTTTGCTGGACTAGACATCAGGAGATGGGTTCCAGGCTCTGGCCCAAGGCCATGTCATCGGGGTTCTTCCCTTCCTTCTGGGAGCTTGAGTCTTGCCATCTGTAGAAAGCTTCGCAGGTCCCCTGAAGTGCTGATGGGCCCCAATTCTCAGGGACCAGCTGTGGCTCCTTTCCCTCGCTTCGGCCAGAGCTTTTCCAAATTTGCAGTCACCGCTCACTGGCCAGTTGATCTGTTTACACCCCACAAGGGTCTTGCTGCTTGCTCTTTCTGCATGAGTTTATTTCCCAGCACTTGGTGCCTTGCTGACAGAGGGATGCCCAGACCAACCAGGATGACCTGGTGGCTTTGTCCTGACTGCAGAGGAACAGACCCCAGTGAGTCGCTGAGCTCTGGCACCCAACGGGGAAAGAGAGACAGAGAGACAAAGTATAGGGACAGAGACGGGGACTCGGGTGCCTTAAGTGGACACACACATACTGGCTCCTTCCTTGGTATTTATCTCATGGCTGGCCAGCCCAATTCTCCTCCAAATTAATCACCTGCTATCAAATCAGATCTTTCAGCAATAGACTTCTTACCATGATTTCAACAATATTGATTAATGAATTATATGCAAACAGCCAAGTCACTGCTGCCCAAGGGCTTTCCTAGTGAAAAATGACTCCTTTGCCTCTAACTTCAGTGCTGGGGGTCTTAAATATTTTAGTGTTAACGTGACAGCAAAAACCTAAGCCCATGTGTCACCTTCCGAGGCTCCCTCAGGGTGGGTGGGGTGGAGGGTGGTGGAACGCCCAGTCCCTCCCTGATTCGAGTCACCAGTATGATTCCATTGTATCTGCCTACTTCCTGGCACACTCGCAAGTCTTCACCAGGAATGAGGAAAAGCATGGTCAAGTTCACCCCAGTTGGGGGCCTCACCCCAATCTTCCCAGGCATGTCAAAATTGTCTCCCGTTCAACAAAGATGAGAATTTGGCATCTGCCCGAGTGGGGGTTCTTATCTCCGCCCCCCATCGCCGAACATCCTCTGGGTCGGGCAGATGAAATCATAAATTTATAATACAACATTACTTCAATTTTCCTCTTCATTCACTGCTGTGCAGTCCAGCTCTGCTCCAGCGGTTCACAGCCCCAGCCACATGGGGGAAACCGGCTGGCTGCGTATCAGTAGCACATTACGGCAGACCCACGCGGGCGCTCCATCAAGCCACATCACGTTGAGATGACCCAGCCACCGCTTCCATTAGCAGCCGGGCCCCTCCCTCACTGGCCACTGCATGATTTATTTGCTCCAGTACTCTGGATGCCTGATCAAGCCCACAGTAATTACCTCTTGTCAAAAAAGGAAAAAACCAAGCCTTCTGCCTGGATGACCACGTTTCTTGCAGACAGGCTTTCCATTGTGGGGAAAAAAAAAAAAATCAGAAATCAGCAAGAGAATTTGAAGTTGCCAGTTGGCTCATGTGGGGCACCCCCCCTTTTGGGATGCTGGCAGAATTCTCAGAATTGTGGTTCTAGATCTTTGTTCCAACCCTAGAAGATGTTTGCACATGACTCATCCTTTTCCAGGCTCTGTTACTCAGCTACTCAAGAGTCACAGAAAACGGCTCCCACCAGGCCCCCAACTTGAAAGAGACAAGAGACGGGGCTGTTTATCCAGGGAGCTGCCAGCGTGTGACACATCTGCCGCGTGGCGTGCAGAGCGTTGCCTGGGGCACCACGGTGGCTCCATGAGGTCTGCATACAGATGCGACACCAAGTGCCAAGGGCCCTTTCCAGGCCGTAGTCTACAAGGACGCTGGGCCCCCAGAATCATCTGGAGTTGCAGGGGTTCCTCCAGACCTGTGCTGTCCCATTAAAGTTTAATTTAATTTAAATTATATAAAAAGAAAACTTCAGTTCTTCAGCCCCGTCTTAAACGCTCAATAGCCACATGCAGCTAGCGGCCACCATCTTGGGCGGTGCGGATATACGACCTTTCTACCATCGCCGAGAGTTCTAGTGCAGTGTGCTGCTCTAGGTGGAAAATGAAAAGCTGAATTTTGAGTTTCCTCTGTTTACTAGAAAACAGCTGAACAAATGGAGACCTCCTTGGGGATGACCTCAAACAGATATTTTGGGGAAAGACAAATCCCAGTTGAAATTACAAATGAGTCTAGGCATGCGGCTCTATGTTCCAGCCAATCTCCTTCTGATCAGTGAATGCCAGCAGATTAGAGCTCTTCATCCCTACCAGACAAAAAAAACCACTTTTTTTTTGCTTTCATTTCCGAGGGGCTTAATGTTGGGGAACACTGGGTCAGGGTTTCACAGCGCCGCTAGAATGCCTCTGGCTTTCTTCAGCTGGTCAGCAATGTCTCTCCACTTCTGGGACCGCAGGGTGAAGCTTTTCTTCAAAGCCTCAGCAATGAGGTATTTCTCTATCACTGCTACCAAACATGTTAAAGCGTGTGTGCCCAGCGAGGTCAAGATAGTTAGAGGCAGTAGGATTATACGGCTGAGAAGGCCAAGAGGAATCAGATATATCAACGATAATCAGGTTTGCTTTTATTAAGTCCACTTTCATTAAGAAAAACCAAACAGATTCTAGTGCACTGGGTGGGCAAGGCAGCGAACAAAGTCTGAGAGCTGCAAAAATACCTTTCCTAAGGGTCTTAGTTGATTTTGGTTTTGTCGAGCTCAAAGGCTGGGAGACCGACTTAAGGATGATTCCTCCTCTTCTCCCGTACACTTTCTTAAAGGAATTCCCATTGGTCTGATTATTCCACGATTCTGTCAAAGGCTATGAAAGCTAAAACCAAAACAGCTGTAGGTCTCCTCCCAAGAACGTTTGCTGCCACAGCAAGAGAGATCAAGAAAGAATAACTGCAACTGAAAGTATGGAGAAAATCTTAAAGGGTATTTAAAAATTAGTTCCACAGTTTCCAAGTCATTTATGGACCAGTGTGTCTGCTGTCTCACTAGGATGTCTACTCCCTGATATCAGACTTCTTTCTCTGGTGCCTCCTAAGCATCTAGAACAATGCCTGGCACTTAGGAGGTACTCAGTAAATATTTGTTGAATGAATGGATTTAAAAGCTTTAATGGGTTACAGTCTCACTTCTAAAAATCCCTAACAGTGTTATGTATTTTTCTGCCCTTTCGACGATAAAAGTTTAAATCGCTGAAACCTCATCTCATTAACAAACTTAAAAAAAAGCGTTTCTGCGTGAGCCAAGTTCATTAGCCAAACTGTTGGCGGTGGCAACGGTGGTGATTCTAGGACTGATATGCAGGCCTAGTGCACCACAGAGATGGTGACCCAGGTGACTGATGGAGTCAGGTCAGGCCATCTTGCCAAAGGATTAGACTTCATTGGTGACATCACTTTAAGGGAAGAAGCAAGAAGCAAGGGCTTCAGTTACAGCACAGCAGATGGCACTCTCCTCGACCAAGCGTCCAGAGGCCCAGGGTGCCAAACTGTGCCAGTGGGTGAAAGAGAGGGCAGCCCTGGGAGTTTCTGGCGAGCGCATCAGAGAAAGCTCGGTGAAGACCCAAGTCTGGCTGGGGAGGCAACAGGCCAACCAGATCGTGAGACTGTGAGTTTGTTCCCTGGGTGGTGGTCTGATTCCCCCTTCTGCCTGGACCTCAGGCTGAGCTGGTTCCCAACTGGGGACACATTTGGGGACCTCTCAGGAGGCCCTGTCTCAGCAGGCATCTAGATGTCCTCAACATAGTAGCTGGGGAATTCAGGAGGGCTGGGAGCTGATGAGGGCTGGAGTCCAGTGTACAGATCTTGTTGGGAGGTAGAAATTCAAAGATAATCCAACTCCCTTGGCTGGGGGTCCAAGGAGGAGGCTGCAGGTGCCATGGCACAAGTCACACACAGATGCAGGTCTAGCTATGTTCTCGGTCACCGGCAGGAAGGGATCCCAAGTGGCAGGGTGTTGGATACCTACTTGGGTGGTAATTTGCCTGGGGCTCCCCAGTACCTTACTAACAACAGCTCCCAGTTTGAGTATATATTACTGTATTTTGTTGATTAGAAGACACACTTTTTTTTTTTTTTCACATCTTAACATCCTGAAAGTGGGATCCATCTCACAATGTGGTTTAGTTAACAGTATATAGTTTTTCTTTCCAGATGGTACACAAGGTGCATTCCACCACCCATGGCAGCTTGAACCTGACAAAATACAGCACTAGTTGGGCATGATACGGCTTCATTTATCCTCAACAACCCCATGAAATGAGGGTTCCCATATCCCTATGGATGGGGTAACTGAAGGACAGAGAAGACTGTCCCTCCAAAGGCACACAGCTGACCAGATGAGAAGTCCAGATCTCCTGATTCTGAAGTCCTGAGCCCTTTCCTGTGGTCCACACAGCCCGCCTTGGTGGAAGCCGGACCCACACCATCAATTCCACCCGAAGAGCTCTCTGCTTGCTTGGGGGTGGAGGAGAGCCTCGGTGACCTGAGGGGCCCTGCCTGGGGCATGGGGGTTTCGCCTGGTGGCAGCCTCAACCAGAGCTACATGGGCAAGAGGCCAAATCCTTAAGTAGCAAGGGTATGGGGGATGGGGATGAACTGGGGGAGGCTATGACTCAAGAACTAATAGACTCAACCACAGTGACATTTTAAACCAGCTATTACTACCTCTTTACTGCAGCTCAGGGAAGTCATAACTTGAAACATGAGAGAACAAAGTCAGGGAAGATGAGTGAGCACCTGGCAGCCATCACATTTCCATCCCTCAGAGAGCAGGAACCAATCAGATGGCATCTGGAGAAGCACGGGGACCATGTGGGTCTGCCCACCACCAACTGTGGTCCGAGCCACTCGGCCACCACCTCTCCTCACACACGCACTGCCTGGACCTGCCCAGCAGCAGCCTTGATGGCCCTCGGGGCTCCACACTAGGACCCTCGCATTCCAAGCTATTTCTTCTGTCTGCATGGCCCTTGGCTTGCTCATCCTTCTCTTCCTAGCTGAGATGTCACCTCCACAGGGAGGTGTTCCCTGATTCCTCCAACTAGTTTCCATTCCTCATTATGTGCCCATAAAGCACCTCACAACTCTCTCTATTATGAGTAATAACGTATCCATGTGATGAGCTGTTAAATGTCACCTGTCTCACTAGACCACAAGCTCCATGAGGGAAGGGACCACATCTGCCTTGTTAGGCACTGTCTCCCAGTGCTGGCCCTGGGCCAGGAACGCAGTAGGTGCTCAAGGACTATTGCTGTTGAATGCCTCCTGCAGTCAACAAGGCACCTGCCTGGGCTCCCATTATGAAACCATTGGTCTGTGGAGCCCCGAGCCCTTGCTTGGCATCTGGGAAGAATACAGCTGCCGCACCTTTGCTCTTTGGCAACTGACATGAGCGAGCTGGCTTTGCTCCACACCTCTGCTTCCCCAGGAAGAAAACCTCCCCCAGGCAAGCAGAGAAAACCATGGGGTACATGATACCTCACATAAAGGGTATCAAGTGAGAGGCAGAAGGGTGGGGGTGCTTCCTGAAGATCTGGATCCTAAAAAGCCATTTGATGCCCTAGGGACTTTATACTCATCATTTAAAATTCAAGACTCTGAAAGCCAGCAGGCAGTAATGGGCTCAATTCTTTTCAGATTTTATTTTAAAATTTGGAACTATTAATCCATTTGGGGTTTCTTTTGGTATATAACATAAGGTAAGGGCCACATACAAATTATTTATAGAGCAAGAGCTACACAAATATCTTACAGTCAACCAGGAAATCATTCTCATTGATTTTTTAAAATTAATTTCTTTATAATAATTAAACTCATACATAGAAACACATTTAATTTAGGCTCCTTAACTTTTTCTATCAACAGGTGCCTTCCTATATGCCACACTATTTTAATTACTGTAGTTTTGGACTATGTTCTGATATTTGGTCAAACTCTCTTTTTTCTCATTTCTCTTTTTAAAAAATTTTCTTATTTATTCTCATGTGTTTCTTCTTCTAGATAAGTGTTAGAATCATTTGGCTAATTTTTAAAGAATTACAATAGGAATTTTTGTTGAAACTCTTTTAAAACTAAAAAATTAGCTTTAACATCTTAGCCATTTTGAGAATTCTCATGGCATCCTTTTCCATTTTTTAAAGTCCCTCAAAATAACTTTACCTGCCTTGTTACTTCCTCAGACAAATAGATACAATTCTTTTAAAGGTCTAAATTCTAAAGCCAAGAAAAGTTTTATAAATTTAAAACTGAGCCAAGAATGATTTAAACAGCAGCAAATCTGAAAATACATAAAGAGCTTATCAAACAATATAGAAGAGGGACTCTTAGCCAAACCAAATGAAACCCATTAAAACTAGACAGACCGTGTGCCTGAATGGAATTTTACCATTAACTACCATTTATCCCATTTAATTAGTATTTTCCTGACACACAATAACTTGCACTAAAATACCGTTCTCTCGCCTTGAAATTTCTAATTACTGTTGCGACCCACACCATTATGCTTCTCCACTGCTTTCTCCATCTTTCATGCCTTTTAGGCGGCAAGATTTTCAATTATCTATGCAGGATGGACAGAGATACCTTTAAGGAAGGGGCATAATATGCAACTCAATTTCTCTAAAAGCCAGGAGAGATCATTTTTCATCAGAACAAACATACTTTGTCTTTCATCATTTTTTTTTTTGCAAATAAAGAATAAAACAGGTTATTTAAGACATCCATTTAAACACAAATTTCATATCCCAAGAGAAAAATGTTAATCACTTAAATAGACAGGATTATTGCCCACCATTACCATATCCCCTCCTCTCCCAAGTTTTAGAAAATGTAGCCTTGGCTCACATAAGTTAAGCCAGCCAGGAGTCCATAGGTCTTTAAGAACTCCCAGTCAGCAGAGAGGGCTGAGGCAAAGAGAGTAACTTTTCCTCCTTTTGAAAAAGGGAGTGGAAAGGGGAAAAAATAATATCAAGTACCTTCTATGAGCCAGGCATGGGACAAGATGCCTATCTAGTTGTCTGCCTATCTATCTATCTATCTATCTCTGCTAACTTAATGGTCACAACTGTCCTGTAAGAGGGATTATCACCCTCATATACAGATAGGGAAGCTGAGCCTCAGACAGGTAAAGCAGTTTGCCCAACCGGAAGGTGACCCAGTCCCCAGGGTCCGGCCCAAACTCACCCAGCATCCCCATGCCAAGCATGAAAGCATCCATGGTATAAGGCAGTCCCCGGGCCCGGCCTCTTGTCCCAGGTGGGAACATGACTTCCTTCGGCTGAGCCTTCTTACATTCTACCTGTTAAACAGAAAGGCGAACAAATGAGATGCAAATGAATTCCATGTAAATGTCAAATGCAGAACTGATCTGGTTACCAGCTAAGTTATTTTTAGCCTTGCTCCTTACTCACTGTAAAAACAGTCGTGCCAAGTAAATGGCCTGCAAGATAAATACTGAAGAAAACACACCACTTGTGCAAATCCTGCAAAAACCTACAAGGATGAGATTGGGTTTGGAGGGGCGGCAAGGACATCAGCTGAAGATGCCCAGGTGTGGGCTGGAGCTCAAATTGAAACCTGCGCAGAAGGCGTGAGAAGGCGGGCGATGGCTGTTGGATGCGTCTGTGACTAATAACAACAGCAATAGTAATAATCCGTCATTATCGTTCAGCCCTTTACATGTTTACACATTCCTCTCAGGCTCCATCAGGTCAGCGACTCTTCATAGCAGGCCACTTGCTATGAAGTCTCATTAAATAGACAGGCCAGTTAGTCTTAGCTCCATTTCACAGATGAGAAAACTGAGCATCAGAAGGCTTGTGTAACAAGCTCTAAGCCATATCCCAGCAGGCGCAGGCCCGGAAGCCGGAGTTTTAAAATTTCTAGGTCAGCAATGCCACCATCTCCATAAAACCTGCCCCAGCACACTCCCGAGGGAAGTAATAAGATTAAACGTGGATTACCGGTTTCTCACTTTGCAGCTATGTCTTCAAGTGGTTGCTAATCTTTCCTTTCTGTTTCCCCCTCTGCCTCCAAAATTTCTTAATCCTATTCTGCTCACATCCAGAAGTCATTTACTTAACAACCTTAATGACACGTAATACAGACCCTACACTGTTATCACTGGTGTTCCTTAGGCCCTTGGTGGGCGCTTACTTGCTTTTAGTTTACAGACAGATTTAACGAGCCTTGTTAGCCAGGAATCAATCCCATTGCTGATGAAGATGGGATGTTGTAGAGCAAGGCAGGAGTGCTCAAAGCTGCCAGAACTAACAGCACGACAGCCTGAGAGTGATGGGGAAAAGACGAGAATCAGGCACCTTATTTTTTTATTTTTGTTTGTGGTACACGGGCCTCTCACTGCTGTGGCCTCTCCGGACGCGCAGGCTCAGTGGCCATGGCTCACGGACCCAGCCGGGGCACGAACCCGTGTCCCCTGCATCGGCAGGCGGACTCTCAACCACTGCGCCACCAGGGAAGCCCCAGGTACCTTATTTTAAAAAGCAGTCTGGGGCCATATAGTATAGAAGCCAAAACTTCACATAGCTCCACAGCTGCTGAGGGTCACTATCACACATTAAATCACTATTGCTCATGGTATGTCTGAGAGATGAAGAAAAAGTTAAATTGTGTGCAGTGTACTTTGTTTTAAAAAGGACCTACACGGGTTATCCATTATGGAGATATTCTCATTCCAAACGCTTCAATTAAAAGGTATTTTAGTGCTTAAGGCTAGGAGGAAGCTTTAATTACCTAAAATATTAACTCCTCTTTCTTCAAAGACGCCGGATAATAAGTATTTACTGCTGCTCTTTAAAGAATGATCACCACGCATGCTTTAAAAAAATGGACAAAATGGTTCGATAGTCATGACTGATATGTTTAATACGAAGAGTTTTTATAGAGTAAAAGGAAAGAGATGAGCATCTCCACAGAGAAATGGGTAAAGGACTCGAACAGGCAATTCAAAAATGGCTAATAAGGAAGCATACATCCCCAAATGTGTGCTTTTTGAAACAGCAAAAGCCATAAATGTATACACTTCCTGCAACCAAGAAACCCTACTTACAGGGATTTATCCTGCAGGGATGAGGCTATTCACCACAAGCATTAATTATAATTTTTTTTTTTAAAAAGGAAATATCCTAAATGTCCAAGAACAGGGAGTTAGGCCGAGTTTGGTTCATCCAAGCTGATTGAAAGCTACGCAGCTACGGAGAAGCAGGCTGATAATAACATACACGGGTATTGGGAAACCCTCAGTCCCAGGCAAACCAGGGCGGCTGGTCACCCTAACTGCAAGAGGTGGGGACAAAAGCAAATTACAGTGCCTTTGGAAAATAAACAAGTGTATATATCATATAGGGGAAAAGTACTAAAAAATTACGCCAAAGTTGTCTTAGTTTCTTCTTTACTTCCATTATGCATTCTACTGTTGTTGTTTATTCCTCCAATTTTTTCGCTTCGAGCATTACTGTCGCAAGCGAGGTGGGGTGATTCTCAAGAAATAAATTCATCAGAATTGGGTCTTTTCGATTTCTCTCATAAGCCCAGAGCTGACATTGTGCTCCTGGACTCCAGATCCCACCCCTGCGACTCAGAAGCAGGCTGAGAAGCCTCATTTGCAAGAGGCTGCCTGAGCCTGGGGAGATGGGTGTGCTCTGCAGAGGCAGACAGATAATTACCTAACGCCAACACCGGGATCTGGAATAATACGCTAACCAGCTCACTTCCTAATAGCCCTATCGGTGACAATCTACTGCATTGTCTTATGAAAACCTGCTGCCTGTTCCTAGGCAACCTGATCAACGAAATTTTCAGGTTTATACAATTTTCATTTAGGAAACATAAAGGTTAACTGACTGTAATGGGAGTATTTTAAACAAACCCACCTCCTCTTCCTCTCACAGAACAGGGCTGGCAGCTCTGTTGAATTCTGCTCTGTCTGGGCTAGCGATGTTTCGGGCGGCACCAGCTGTGTGGGTTCTGTCAACCCCTCGCCGTGTCGATGGTGAGCGCTCCCGGAGGCCAGGGGCCGTGGCACGCGCTCTCTCTGGGGGACCCTGCACGTCCCGGGCACTTGAGTGACAGGCAAAGGCAGCAGTCGCACTAGGGTGCCTGGCCTGGCCTGGCTGGCACGGAAGGCTTCTCGAAAGATTTCTCAGGACCAGGAGGCCTGCCCCCAGCCCTCACTACCTTTGATGATCTCGTATGAAGAAAACACACAAAAGGGAAAAGAGGTATAGCTTTTCTCTCCCTGGATCCTGAGTCCTTGCAGTGGGCCTGAGGCTTGCTGACGATGAGACTCTGTCCTTCGCCCATCGGACTGTGAGTTCTCAGGGCAGGGATCAGGGTCTGCCTCTACTTCCTGGTCCCTCAGTGAGGTTCCATACAGAGCATGGATTGACCTACATGCTCCTTCAGGGAGACCCGGTCTACTTGATGCCACGGTGCTGAGGAACGCGACGGGCCCAGCGAGCGCTAGGCAGCGGGGGTGCGGAGACACACAAGGCAGGGCCCCATCCAAGGGCCATCAGTCTATGAAAAGAACAGGTCTTGACTGCCCTGTCCTCCTAACATTAAGGCAAATATTCATCTGTCAACCTGTCCCTCGTCGCTTCTGGGCCCGTCAGCCTCTGGTACCTCTTGAGTGAGCCTACGTTTGAGTCACCCCCATCCCCGCTCTCCTCCCACTGGGCCCTGGCCAAACCAGAGAACTTGGAAGGAGCACCAGAGTTACAGTCAGAGCCAGAACTCGGGGAACCAGTCCATCTCCGCAGCTCCACGCACCTGGTCATCCGGCCACACGCTGTCCCAGTTTTCTATTGCTGTGCAACAAACTCCCCCACACTTGGTGGCTCTGAGCAATAATTTATCATGCTTCCTGGTGGCTCTGAGTGCGGAGTGGGCCCAGCGGGGCTCTTGCTTGTGGTCACTCATGTAGCTGTGGTCAGATGGTGGCTGGGGCTGGAGCCAGAGGAAGCCTGCCTCGGAGGACAGCCAAGATGCCTTCTTCCCTCCCACGGCGGGCAGCAGACGCTGCTTTGGCTAAGACTGTTCATCGTGGCTTCTCCGTGGCACTCGGTCTTCTCCCAGCATGGTGGCTGAGTCCCAAGAGGGAGTGTCCCAAGCATGAGCATCCCAAGGGACCGAGGCTGAAGCCACCCAGCTTCTTATCTCAGCCTTGGGAGTCACACTGTTTCTTCCATCACCTTCTACTGGTTACACTGGGCCGGCCTGGATTTGGTGTAGGAGGGGGACACTCTCAAGGACATGAATGCTGGGAGGCCTAGGCCATAGGGGCCATCTTTGGAGACTATCGCACGAGATCAATGGAGAGCAGTGAGCAGACAGGACAGCGGGACCCTTGGTGACGGGCTTGCTGGGGGCTGCCTTCACCATGGGGCGCAAGGCAGGGCACTGAGGCTCCCTTCCCAGGGCAGCCCCAGAGACACTCATCTGGCTCCCCAGGTAAATAGAAGCAAAATAGGAGTGGTTCTCCTGGTGACCTGATCTGCTGCTCCAGCTCTTTCAGCACCGTCCCTTTTATGGTTAGACCCCCTCATTTACGGTAGATGCTCCCCAACACCCACACCCAAAGTGCGCACTCTCAGGCAGCCCTGGCGGGGGCAGAGTCTGAGGGAGAAACATCTCCGAGGCTTGGGTCTCAGGTCTCCTCCATCAACAGCTCAGACCCCACCTCTGCAGCTTCTCACCACGGCTGCCATCAACACTGTTTCAAATGACAGCTGGAGAAAGCCATCTGGGTGGAGGGCAGAAGACGGAGTGGGAGTTCCACTGGGGTCTGTGCTCGTAAGAAGCGCCAGAGGCCACTTGTGACCAACTGCTCACACCAGGAAGATGAGGCCTCCATTTTCAAGCTTCACGGCTGGCAAAGCCACAAAGTAACCCCACACCGGGGTCCAAATGCCAAGACATGCCAACCCCCCCAAAGCTAGATGGATTTGCTTTAAAATTCCAACCTCCAAATATGCTGCTTTGCTTGGCAAACTGGCCTTGGAGGAGAGGGTGTGGCTTCCCTGTAGCCCACGCAGTGATGGGCTCAGAAGGATGACCTGGCTGAACCCTCTTCAATGACAGCCCAGCTGTCCCTCCAGAGGGTGAATCGGAGGCTACTGTGAGGGTGACGTGTGGTCCCTAACCCTCTGTGCAGGATGCTCGTTGGTGTGGGGTGCCTCCGCCCATCTGGGTCCAAAGCAACTCAGTGAGGAGGTCTGTTTCTAACTTTATATTTAGAAAGAACTTCAAGAGGACAGCACAAAGGACACTGCACACCCC